AATGATCACAGTTATTATAATATATTCACTTAAATAAAAGTACCAATACAATAATAGTAAAAAGTAGAGTAGAGAAAAGTACAGAACTATTATGAGACAAACTTAAAGTATCAAGTGACCCCTAATATATATTATATTATTAGATTTTGTTATTTACCATGTTGGATGCTGTTTAACTTTTTATTTATGGCAGTCAAAAAAGGTACAGTATGTATGCTTTGTTCATGAACATACAGTCTTAATCTTTCTCCTGACAGCAACTTAGCCTTATGCTATGTTTTTGGTAGTGTATATGCTAGTTTGATATGTGTTTAAATATGGCATACTAGACCAACATGTTATATAAATTATACTGTATATGGTGTACTAAACAACAATATCAAAAATTGTATTGTTTTTTTTTATGTATAAAACACACACACACACAAAGACACAGTATGAGTACAGTATGTTTATATATAAAGTTAATAAAAAATTTATATATTCCATTTTTCTTATATTGTTGGATTTTTGAAGACATGTCCACTTTGTTCTGACATTTTATAGAGTAAACAATTATTCAATTAATTGAAAAAAATATAATTAGATCACCCCAACATCAAATAAATTCATTTTAGACATTGAATGTAAATTGAATGTGGGAAGCTGACTTTATTTGTTATTGCACAACTACATTATAGTATTTACAGATATATAGTAATCATTATGTACTTCCTTGTTATCACTCAGATAACAATTAATAGTAATTATTTTTTCTTTGGTGACTGTTTGTGCTGCAACCATAAGAACATGTGAATCCACAGTACCTCATAATGACGATGCACTACATCATACAGATGCTTCCCCATGATTCTGATCTCCAGCCCCTACAGTACCTTATACATCCACAATCTGTTTCTCATGTCCTTTGTCTGCATGTAAACAATGATGATGGACGTAACGGCTCAGCAGCAGGCTGTGACATCGATTGAACATGATGTCACGCACAGAATGAGCTTATAGCACCAACACCTATATTCAAATTGCTTTACATCAGCCTCAGATTGTTTTACAGTCACCCAAAGGCCCAAAGCGCCTCAAATTAGCACCAGCCACCTGACAAATGTTCTACACCGCAGGACAGGTCGGTGTTTCGGAAGAGAATGAATGTGTAATCTGGTAAAGTGTTTGTTCTTCACCCCCATACTGTCATGAGTGGGGCCAATGGGGGCTAACATTAGCAAACCACCAAGACACCCCTAACCTCTTCTTTTTTTGAGAGAGAGAGAGATTAGAAAACAATCTGGTCTGAGAACCCTCTTTCTTTCTTTCTTTTTCACATGTTGTTCTTAGGTGAACTGCTTTCTGAACTCATGAAATCATGCATGACAAGAAATGGAAACTTTCCAAAAGTCTCCACAGAGATATGGGTGTCACACTGAACCAGGCGGCTCCGAGGTGTTGATGAAAAAGATGCATGTGTGGAATAATTCCTACGCTCTTTTTAAGGGTAATTTTTTTTACTGGGATTAGAGGTTCTGCTCTGAGTGTAAGAAAGCCTATCAACCTACTTTTAGAAGCTTTTGGCCACAAGAGTTGAGGTTACAGCTGTTAGTGCTAAAAACCTACACACACATACACATATCTTCTCACAGCTGCCTATTACAAACTGCACTCACAGCAAAGACTCCAGAGGTTAAAAATGTCTTCTTTTTTTTAAGGTGCTCTGTAACAAATGCGAGGCTCCAAAACCTCATCAAACATGAGATGCCCTGAAGTGATATGAAAAGTGTTGAAAGATCTGCAATTCTCCCATACAAAAAAAAAAGAATGGCATGTTTACATTCTAAAAAGCTGAATTAACTTCTTTTTTTTTTTCTGCCACTGATTGGACCGTGCTGATGAAACAGAAAAAAGCTGAAAATTGTATGCGTGCGTGCCTGCCGCTGTGATATCAATAGATGGCATGTGCGATTGCCTCTTACAAACTGGAGGGGCCCGGCCGCTGGGAATAATGTTCAGAGAGCAAGTGAGGCGGGCAGGCAGGCAGCAAACTGTGTGCGTGAGCGTGCGCGCATGTGTGTGTGCGTGCGTGCGCGGCCGTGCAGAGTTTATTGAAAGAGTTCCTCTCTCCCTCCCTCCCTCCCCCCCCCAACCCCCCCCCCCCCCCCCCCAGCCCAGGCAGCGGCAGCCTGGGTGGTCCCCCTCTCTCTCCACTTTGGTGAGCTGTTGCTTAGCAGCTAATAATAGGCGATGTTTGCAAAGTAATTTGCCTCTTCCTTGGCCAATGGGAGCCGGAGCACTTTTCCATCAAACCTCCCTTTTCAGGATTTGCCGAGAGGCGAACTTCTCCAAATGTTACCGCTACGGGATCGGAGTTAGACTTGACACGGAGGGCTCAGACATAGGCTACTACTACTACTACTACTACTACTACTACAACTACTCCTCTCTGAGACGTCGTTTCATAAACTATCGGGACGAATGAAGACTGAAGGATCTATACGGATTTCGGCGCATAATGTTGGGATGGAGTTTCGAGACTTGTTTGGGTCCAAGGAAGACTAGAAAACCTTCCTCTAACTTGTCGCCGGCGGTGCTGGATGCGCTCCTCTTCTATGTTGGATTATTGTCGCTTTTTCTGAACTCGCACCGATTCCCTGTCGCTTTGCTCTGCGCCCCGTTTACCCTCTTTGGACTATGGCCTCGGATCGCGGGGTCCCAGGGCCCGGCGTCTATGGAGATTTACCCCCGAGTTATACGCGCTCCCAGCCGCCTGCGAACCCAGACCTACTCCGGAGACCCAGCTACTGCCACGCTGCTTTCGCACTTAAACAGATCTCAAAGGTGATACAGCGCTCACAGTTTAGTGTGGAATTACTATGAGGGCGGCTCTCATTCAGTCGGCGAATGTGAATGAAAGTCTTTAAATGCAGCTTTTGATTTAGCCGTTATCTAATCGTGAGTTCAGGGCGCATGTGGGAATGTAGGGTAGGCTGAAGCAGCAGCTCCCAAACCTGGGGTCCGGGGACCACCAGAGCTCCCCGAGGGAGTCGACAGCGAAACCGGGAGTAGTTCAGTTTAACTGTTTATAACGAAAAAGGTGTAGAAATTGTCATCGGAGCTCGCTATAGGCAACAGCAACCTTATGCTTTATGGTTACTGGGACAAAACCTTATAGAAGTCTGAGCTTGCATGACATGGGCTGTTTTGCAACCTCCTGGAATAAAGTGATACTTAATTACGCGTTTTCGTATTTGGCAGCATGTTAACGTTGCTGTTTGTTTGAATGGACACCACACTCTCATTCATTTTTTGTTGTTAAAGCCACCGGGAGGGAGTGAGTGAGTGAGGGTTTGTTCCCATATCCCAGCCGTGTTGTGCGTGTTTTTGGCTTTGTGCAGGCAGCGCAGAGCGCACTGGCCCGGGGTCTGTTTGGAAATGTGGTGGGTCCTGTAAAGGAATTCACTGATTGAGTTTGATCTGACAAAGCATCTTTGGACCGCCCGGATGCTTGGACGTGTTTCAGCACTGCTGAGAGAAACCACAACACCAGAGCAATGTCTTCTGCAGCAGTGACATTTGTAGCACAGGGACTGAATGGCTCTCCCTAAAGAAGAGATTCTAACAGTTTTGTTTCAAATTAGAGGGGGAAAAAACTTTATAATGTAGATTGCTGCAGGGAAATAGATGTCAGCTGAAAACTCTATTTGTAACCAGCTCATTCTGTTAGTATTTAGCAGTTGAACGTGATTGAACAAGACTTTTACTGCAACAAAAGTACTAATATTCTGTTCACAGTACACATATGGTGATCATTTTTTACTGTATACTCATTAAAGATAAGACACTTTTGCTGTTTTTCTCTTAAACTGCAACTATAATCAACATTTTCACTTATTGTAGCTTCATTAGGTCATGAACTTGTTCTGTAGGGAGGAAATTTGTATTTTTAGGCTCTTTTCATTTCTGTTTCTCTGGACTCTGTAAGTTTAAACTACTTGTATCTAGTTTCCACAAAAGGTTAACATTAGTGCGGATTATTGCCACAACTATTCCGATTAAATCATCTCAAATGTGGGAGATCCTGTCCCAAGTCTGGACTGAGTTCAGGTGACAGACGTGAGGTTTTAGCAGCAGTCTGACAGCACACTCAGGGTAGGACAGCACTGGCATCAACTCTGTGGTTAGCTAGTTAGCAGCTTGAGCTGTCATCATATTATACAATGCTCGAAATTCCCACAGAAAGACACGTGTTTCTGAATACAGATGCATGTGTTATCCAGTGTCTTGGATGGAAGTTGTTGCTGTGGTATAGATTTGGCCTAAATTCTCCACACTTGAGACTCAGATTGAGACATAAGCTATGAAACCTTCCTTTGTGGACAGTTGTGCAAATGGTGCATTATTTATGTGTGGTAACATAATAATAATACTGTCCTTTTCTCACCCTCCCTCCTGCTTCGAATCCAGGGGAAGGCGGTAGGTCAGAAAGCTCCTCTGTGGATCCGGGCGAGGTTCCAGGCCCTCCTGTTCTCTCTGGGTTGCCACATCCAGAGGCACTGTGGAAAGGTCCTCTTTATTGGACTCTTACTTTTTGGGGCTCTGTCTGTGGGACTCCGAGTTGCAGCCATCGAAACGGACATCGAACAGCTATGGGTGGAAGGTGAGTTTTTAAGATGACTTTTTCATTGCTGTTCCTGTGAAGCAGCAGCACAAGCCAGACTCTGGCATTATTACTGTTTATCACACAAATACAACATCACTTCAGGTGAGCCGTCATTCTGTGAGTTCAGTTTTAGGTTCATGGCTGAATTTACTGACTTTTTGCTCAGAATAGTCACCAGAGGGTGGTTTGTACATTTTGATGAGCTTTTTTTCCCCCACTGGGTTTAACTGGAGATTGAATGACAATAGTGGCTGGTGGGAAGAAGCAGGGTGGCCATGTTAGTGTCATCTCAGTGCCATGGGAGGGCACTAGGTGTTCAGTGACTGATTGACTGTTTGTCTGGCTTGAATCCTGAATAAAGCAGCAACAAGGAACATGATTTGTTAAAGTTATTTTTTTTTAATTTTGCTTGGTTGGAAATAGCTTGCAGATAGAGTATTGACTTCCTTTTGCGTAGCAGTTCTGTTTCCTGTGTGTTGCGGATGGGAGTAAACTATATGTTGTATTCTGCAAGCTGAGTGTTGTTTGTTCATGTCTGTTCATGTCTTAATAAGTCACAGTTTAACTGAGAAACCCAAACACATCTGACCAGAGTGCACTACAATACTATCTCTTCCTCTTCTGTCCGACAGTCAATTTCTTGCACATGTCCTAAAGGCATGACCGTGATTGTGATTCTATGCTGACTCTCAAACCTTTTTTTTTTCCTCTTTTTCCCTCATTCTGTGAATTTTATATTTAGGTTATCTGTGCATTTTCAGGGTTAGAGGCAGCTTTATTTGGTTTTTCACACTGGCCAAATTCCTTTTAAACCCCCAGGCTTTCAGTGCTAGGGCTGATCCCCGCAGCAGATGGACTGTGTGAATGGTTAGCCATCTTTGAGGGCTCTGACCCCTCCCCCCCTCGGCTCCCTGTGTGGTCCCTAACTATTCTTGGATTCCATTCAACAAGAGGCAAGCAGGCAGGCAGGCAAGCAGGCACCACCTCCCTAAAACCCCCTCCCTCCCTCCTCCTCCTCCTCACAAGAAGAAAAAATATAAGTGAATGCAGCTGAAGTTTACCCACCTGTTTTGCGCACTCTAAAAGCGCTACAACAGTTGGTGAATATAAACAGACCGTATGGGGTTTTTTAAGCTCACTATGTCACTAGAGGACGGGGACAGGCGGCTCCCACAGGAGCTGTGTGTAGAAGTGTTGGAGAAATCACACACTGTAGGGTCAGGAGAAATGTTTGGAGGCTGTGCACTCCACTTGCACAGAATTGTAAATAATTAATTAGTTAATAATTTTTTAAAAATCTGTCAATTGTGAGGGTTAGGCCTGTATTTGCTACAAAAGCAGGCAACAAGAGTTTGAATTTCTACAGTCTCCTTTTTTCTTTGCTTTCATTCTGGTTAGTGTAAAGCTTCAGGATTACCTCTTGAGCTAATTGGCAGATCCATCTCTTAAAGGAGATGTTTAGATGTTTGTGTGCCAGTTGTTTTGCTGTGGGATTGAGAGAGTTGAACGGAGGGGGTCTGAAAAGGAATGCTGTGCCTTTAAGAGGCCGTGGCCATGTTTCTAAAGTTTCTGCCTGCCTTGTTTCCACCAATAGCCCATTGACAAAGCTGCTAGGGCCTCAATGGAGAGTAAAGTGGTTCGGTAACAAGGAGAGGTTAGTTCTCCCTCTGTCTCTCTCTCTCACACACACACAAACACAGAAGAACACACACACACACATGCACCATTGTACATAAGCCAGAAGAGGGAGGAATGATATGCTCTCTAATAAGACAGCTGATTTCATATTAAGGCTCTTAAAAATATGTATTATTATTGGACTGTTTTTGTGTATATATCTTAACTAGGAGAAATTTAATTTCTAATGCGTTTATGCAAGTCATTTCCTTCATATCTGACAAGTAATCTTATGAAACAGCTCTTCCAGATTGCAGCATAAACAAAGCTTTCCCACTTGTATCCTAATTTGTTCAGAATAAACTAGCTGTGAATTGACACCGTATGTGTTAACACTTCCAACATGGTGTAAGCTCTATGCTGATGTGTGTGTGTGTGTGTGTGTGAATGTGTTAAAGGCATATGCTTCCCATCATATATTCATACTACAGGCTGCCCCCGCACTACCCACACATACACAAACACATACACTTGTCATTTTTGCCACCTTTGGTGTGTGCAGCTTGCCTAGCCGTCTGTCTGCCTGCCCAAATTTCCTGAGTCCGTGCCCGTCTGTCTGCCTGTGCTTTGTGTATGTCTGTTTATAATATCTACCTGTCTGCCTGCCTACTCTGTGAAGTCAGGCCACCAGGGCTTTTTTAATTGCTTCCTCCCTCCTACAGCACCAAAACACTGTGAAGCAGAGCACAGCAGTGGACTCTGTCTAGAGAGAGTAGACAGAGAAAGACAGAATAGGGAGTTCAGTAAAGTTAGTACCTGCATTCCCTTGCAAACATACTTGCACCGTATACTGTTCTGTACTAACTGGCAGCCTTTACTTGTATCATTTTCGTTTGCCTTCAGGATTCTTGTGCATTGGTAAGGAGGACATGCAACAAAAAAGTAAAAGGGTTAATCATGTCTTCAGTCCTCACACCTGTGTTGGTGAGAATAAAAGCCCTAGTATCAGGGTGTTTAGTCTGACAGGGGGGATTAAGGACTATTTGTGGCTTACTGCTCAGTCACTGAGAGAATATCAGACAGACACCACCCATCAAAATAGCTGAAATTACTTACACAGGTCTTGTTTAGCAGGCTGCATTTTAAATGTTGTAACACAGAGTTGCATTTTTTTTTGGAAAGTGTCTGTAGCCCTGAGACAGTGCAGGAATGAACACTAGGTGCGGATGTGTTATTAATGTGTTATTATGAAGAGGCCTTATTATTTAAAAGTGTTTGAATCACATCCTATTTCTTTGCCAAATGCATGTAATTTCATTCTAGATTAAGTTTGCTTATTGTAAACACACATTATATCATTCCTTTACGTTTTATGCTTTTATAGCCTGCCCACCTTTGAGAGTGTGAAAGTTGGTGTGAGCTGGGCAACGTGTGACCCAGTCTGTATTGTCCACAAGCAGAAAAGAGAGAGATCGTAAAAAAGAGGTGCAGGAAGAGGAGAAGGATGAGAGGAGACATTTGGGGGGTTGGGGCAGGAACAGGCCGGAAGGTTTATGGCTAGCTGACACTTTTTTTTGCCCGTGTTTTTGCCTCTCTCACACAAAAATCAAGTGTGAGTGTCTCCTGCGTGTCTTTATTTCTCCATAAAGGACTGTGAGAGGTTATGTAGTTGCTTGCTCAAGCTTGACTTGAAAAAAAATAAAAAATCTGATTTCTTTTTGCAGTGTTTGAATAATTGTTTTAGGTCTTGTATCTTGTATTTTAAGTTCTGATAATTTCACTTCTACAAAGGCCCACTTGAAAAGCTTGTTTTGGGAAAGGAAAGAAATGGCCTCCATGTAAAAGTGGTGGTGTTTACTCTTACATTAACTAAACTCATCCTTCTTGGCAGAGTTTGGGTGAGGCATGACAGACATGTACACAGACTCAAGCTGTCCAAATATGAGTGCAGTGAGACAGGGCCTATCCGGATAGCAGGCTCACCACATGTCCCATAAAGAGGCCATGTAGAAAGAGGATAGGAAAGGGGGAGGTAAAGCCCATACGCAGTCCACATAGCATGAATGCATAGAGACTGTAGTGCTAGCTTAGCCAGATAGCAATGAAATCAACAAGGTCTTTAGCAGATATGAAGAGACAATTTATTCAAAGAAAGAGAAAGACAACCTGGATGAGAGAAAAACGTCTAAGTTTGCGCAAATGAGCGAATGCACACGTGGGCATTACGATGTTTGGAGCAGTTTCTCTAAACAAACCTCAGAGCGGCACAGCAGGTAAATGCTATAATTCATCGGAGCGCACACAGCGCCCCAGTTCAGACAGAGAAAGGGAGCTCTATGAGGCATTATTGGAGGTGAATAGTGCGCGGTGGTGCCCCAGCTAGATAAATAAACTCCCAGCGCTCAGGGCCCAGGACCTCACTGGTAGAGAGAACAAACAAGACCAGAGTCAACCTGGGTCACTTCTAAATGTTTATTTCACCCCCCTTCCCGCCATCCTTCAATCCAAGTCTCCCTCATTCCATCCCCTTTTTCAGTATCCTCCCCAACACACACACACACACACATACTCTTCAACAGTGAGACCAAGACCACCCCCTAACAAATAAACACAGATTGAGCAGCTATAGATACATGTCCATATGACAGACACATGGCTTTTGCTTCCATGATACAGGAAACACACAGATTGCTCCCTACCTGTCTTTCTGAAGTAGCAATTTTAAAATGACAGTATTCATCATGTGGATCAAAGTTACAGCCACATTTACAGTGATAACATGAAAGATACCTTTATACTGTTATTCTGGTGCCAAAGCTTTTATAAATAAGGACACTGGACTGTCAGTCTTTGCAACACTGAATGCAGTATACTGAGAAAGGCTGCAGTGCAACTGAAAACAGGATAATGAAAACTCAATCAATATAGTGTGGCGCCCTTTCTTTCCTAGCTGAAGAGCAACCTTTGTCTTTGGTCTGCGCAAAAATAAAGCGGCACCAGTCACCTTAGAGTTTGCACCATTTGCCTCTGTCTTTATACCATGAAAGTATAAAAAATAAAGGAGGAGGGAGATGGAGAGAGACTGAACATTTTCTTGGTACTTGGGAGGGAAAAAAGAAATGGTTCTTGGGCTCAATAAATTCATTTCTCGTCTGAATGAGACCAGCAACGTGGAAAAATTTTGCCTTTCAGGCAGGGATGAATGTATGTTTCAACCACACATTAAGCAGTATTAGCGGTCAGTGGAGTGTCTAATGTGACTATTTTTCACAGTGGCCAACTCTGCCCATGATTAGCATAATTAGCAGAGGCAAGCCTATACATATGGAAATAGAAAGTGCCTAAATGCCAACCCTGGTGGAAATTTATGTGTGGTGGCTAACACCACTGGCACATCTGAATAGAATGTAAGTGAAACTGATTTTTCATGTTGTTTTCCCTGTTTTATACTGTTTTTAAGGTGTGATCTTTAAGGTGGTTGTTTTTTTCTTAATGGAGGGAGCTGCACGGTTTAAGCACATTGAAACATTTTTGTTTTCTCATGTTCACACGTTAATTAGGATTTTCTCCTTCTAAAATAAAACAACTGTCTTTGACGATTAATGAACAGATACAGCGTGCGCGTGAAGACAAAAACACACACACAAACACTGTATTTCTATAGGTAAGATACCAAAGTGCCAGCTTCTCTTTCTTGCCCCCCACCTCACCCTCCCACAGCCAACTCTGGCATTGTTTTACAGGCTGGGAAAGTTTTGGTCCATTTGCTTTTGTTGTGAAAAAAAACCTTCCCTCTTTATTTTATTCTGCTGTTTGTTGGGAAACATCTGAAAGAAATTGAAGGGTTGAATGACAAAAGGGTCTGCATTCAGTCTGGAGCTGCTGTACTGAAGGATTGTATGGAGGAACGGCCCATCTGCTGGGGGTTGCCTGCTTTAGGCGGTGCCCTGGCTAGGGAATGCCATGGGGCTGGGCCGGGCTGTGGCACAGACCCGATTCTGGTGGGTCCACATGTGAAAAAAGGACCAAGAGGGTTTTTTGTGATGTGCCAACAGAATGAGTTTCTCATTTGGCTCCTTTGCTGAAAATCAAAAGAGATAAAGGACCTCTATTGGAAGACATTGTAAAAAAAGTTGAGTAAATGATAGATGGAAGCTGGCAGCCAAGGGATAGCTTTGTGTCTCTTTTTATATATTGTTCCTACTCTGTGGTGGTCAGAACTCTTCCCCCCCTAAAATCTTTAACTAAAGGGGGTTCTGTGTAGAAATCAGCTGTTTCTCCTTTCTCTCATTTCACCTACGTGGACATACTGTGTTAATCAGGACAAGGTTACTTCCAATGCATTGCGTAGCAGGTAAATGCATACATGTCACTTTCAGCCTTCTTCTTCTTTGGTCTTCCTCCATAGCAGCGTGGGGCCTTTCAGTGGCCCCCTAATCCAGCTAATCTACCACACTAAACTTTGAAGGTGGCCTGGTCTGACCTAGCATGGCCTGGAACTGGGACTAGGCCTGTAAGCCACGAAGACAGCATATAATAGATAGAATAGAATAGAAGAGAATAAATTTGAAGCACAGCACTTTAAAGGTGGCCTTGCCTCCGTCCTAGAAGCCAGATGTGAGAAGCCGCACATATTTCACCGAGGGGATTCTGGGTGTTCGATTTTTAGGGATGGAGGGGTCAGTTGGAGAGGAAATGACTGAGGTTGGTGGAGACAGGGTCCAGTGTTTACACCTGTGTACTGTACACACACACACACACACACACACACACACACACGAGGTACATGCACAACACCACATTCATACAAACATTATATTTGTACACCCACAGCCATGAAACCATGTCAGTGCTTGTTATGACATTTTTCATTTGCTTTTCACTTTCCCAGTGTCGTAACTGTTGTGAAAGTGCTTTTAGTGGTAAAGCTAGTAAATGAATTCACATGTTGCACCCAACAGAGTCGAATTGTTTGCTAAAATTTGTAAGATGGTGGTCGAGTTTCTCAAAAACATCCAAAGAAAGAACTGTGGATGTGATTTAGAAGAATTTGGGATCATTTGTGATCATTTCTTCTTTCTATTTTTCATTTTTGATCATGTTGCCAAACATGGACTAATATTTCATGTTAGAAAATTGCTCATGTAATAAAATTACCAGCCGCTGGGGTGTTGAAACCCCAACTTCCACACTCAAAGGCGCTTTCTTCCCAGGGTGGGAAAATTTCCGGGAACTGTCTCTTTAAGACTGTGTGGAGCGCAGGCTGAGTGCAGGGAGAGGGTAGGGGGGATTGAAAGAGAGTGAGAAAGAGAAAGAAGTGAAAAAGGAGAGAGAGGGAGGAAAAGGAGAAGAGAAACCAGGAAAAGAAAGACAGATAAGAAAAGAAAGGACAGGGTTCCCTCTGGAGCGATCGGTGAACAGAGCAGAGCTGAACCGAGCTGAGTAGTTGCGAAGCTCAGAGTTGAGTGGTTGGGGCCGGACCAGGGGTTGGGGAGAGAAGGCGAGAAAGAGAGAGAGAGAAAAGAGAGAGGACTGGCTGCCTGGGTGGTCCAGATGGGAGGAACGAGACACAAATAGCTATAATTTACTTCAGGAGGCCTGTAATTACAGAGCCAGAGTCTCTCCGAGCCACCCAGTTCCTGTTGGGATCAAAACCCCACACTGCAGAGGTTAACATACGAAATGTCAAAAAAGGTTTAACAGATGTCAAAGAGGTCCAAGAACGTAAAGGGTTCCATTTTGTAGTAGCCTTCTTTGATTGGAAATCTGTGTGGCAAGGAGGCTGAGTTGAGGTCGGGGAGAACTGTCCCTCTGAGCACCGTTCTTACACCAAGGCAGATTCTTTTTACATGTACTTGACAGTGTGAAAATGGTTTTATAAAAGTCAAATAAACCAAAAGAACCAGCACTCTTAAAAAGAAAAAAATAATTGTCTCCAATAGTCTTGAGGAAATCTTTTTTGTTGTGGTTCCCTTGGAATAAAAGCATTATAAAAACTCAAATTTTGTAGGACCAGATGTGCAGAGGATATCCAACAAGAACATGTCCCATTTTGAGGTTTTCTTCTCTTTGGGATGCACTGAGCCAGACACTTAAAAAAAAGACACCCATGACTGCAAATAAACGAGATGGCCTTATACTCTCAAGCCCCTGCGTAAGGTAATTAAAGCCTTGAAAGCAAAGCCTCGAAGTATTGGACTGTGTTTCCAAGGCCCAGAGTCTCTAACCTGATCTCACACTTTTCGCGGCGTAGGCTGAATCGTTTGTTTTTTTTCTTTTCTCCCCATCAATTATAGGAGCCTGCTCCAGGCTGGGCTAGGTGCATGAGAGCACGAGGGAAAGAGAGAACGAAAGAAAGATTGGGAGAAAGGCAGAAGTATATAGCGTATGAGAGGGATAGATGCAGGCAGGAATGAGTGCAGCGCAGGGACAGTGAGTAAAAGAGTGACGAGAGTTAGAATTGAAAAGGAGGTAGCCCTTGTTTCCAGACTTCCCCACCACCTCCCCCCTTCTCTCCCTTTCCCTCCCTCTCTTTCTCTCTCTGAGGTTGTCATGTAGTGGGACAGCGAGAGGGGCAGACGGGCCCTCTGTGATCCAGCGCGGCATGTTTCATGTCCACTTGGCACAGGCACAGATCCCCCCGGCTGGCAAACTCTTTTCAGGGCAACCTCCTGTAATTAGGGGGCTGGAGTCTACCGCACAGCACAACATAGCTCTATCCCTCTCTCTCTCTCTGTATTTTTTTCATCCTCTTTCTATCTCTTTTTTGTTCATCACCACCGCTGATATCCGTATTTATCTCTCTATGAATCTATTTACCTTTCTTTATCTATTTGTATCTCCAACTTCTTTGATGTCTTTGATTCCCAACTTCTGTGTGCCATAGCCCCACCACTGCCTCTCCCTGTTCCCCCTCATCCAACGCTTCTCTTCTCTTCTCTTCTCTTCTCTTCTCTTCTCCTCTCTTCTCTTCTCTTCGCTTCTCTTCTCTTCTCTTCAAAGCCCTGAGTCTGGTGCCAAAGAATATAGCTTAATGACATAGTTACGGTCAACTTATTTTCATCGAAACTACCTTAAAGGTGGTTACAGTATATAAAGATCTAGTATACTCGTCATGATCTTTTCTCACATATTCAAAATATCTGCTGCCCCCGAGAAGAGTGGCAGAGGGTTTTGGGGCATCAGAAGGCTGATTTTCCTAACTAACAGGGCACATCTGTTTCGCAGAAGGAGCCAATGAGAAGCTGTATTACTCATTTCTCTTGGCCAGACGCTGGCTTGTGTGAAGTGCCTTCAAAACCAACACTGGCGAGGGCCAAGGGCGTTGGTCGATATATGTGTGTGTTCTTGTGTAAGTGTGTGTGCATATATACGCACGCCACACACTTTGTTTTAGGATCCAAATGTGTGTGTGTCTTTGTATGTGCTTTAAAGAAAGTCTGTGCTAATGTAAGACTAATATACAGTATATCAATCTATCTGTCTATCTCAACAATTCTGTATTAATTATTCATTATTAACTTATCCTTTATTCTTTGTTTTCTAGCTGGTAGTCGGGTAAGCACAGAGCTTCGCTACACCAGGGAGAAGCAGGGAGAGGAGTCAGTATTTACCTCACAGATGCTCATCCAGACCCCCAAAGAAGAGGGCACCAATATTCTTAGCCAGGAGGCTTTGCTGGTTCACATGGAAGCCGCCCTGTCAGCCAGCAAGGTCCAGGTGTCACTGTTTGGAAAGTAAGTGGACCACCCTCCATCGTTTCTTGTGTTTACGCTTGTGTCAACAATTTAAGTTGTAAATTATTATTTATTAACGATTGTTGTTTCTCTCTTTTAGATCGTGGGATCTTAACAAAATATGCTATAAATCAGGAGTCCCTATTATAGAAAATGTCATGATTGAAAGGGTAAGTTCACAATAAATAGATTTTTCAAGTCCTATATATACATTTTCTTTTTACCTGATTTGTGATGCTTAATCGTGCTTCCTTTCTATTTCCTGATCCCAGATGATTGACAAGCTATTCCCCTGTATGATAATCACTCCATTGGACTGTTTTTGGGAAGGGGCCAAACTACAAGGAGGCTCCGCCTATTTACCGTAAGTATTGGAATATTTGACTCAACTTAAGTCTTTTTTGCATATTAAAACATTTCATAGAAAGTCTTGGCTCTCCCTTTGCTGTCATTGCTTCCATCTGACTTGCGTTGCAGACTTGTGGAGGGGTCCGTAACTTTTAACACATGCTCGATGGAGACATACAGTTGGGCTTTCAGTAGTCTGTCAGTGGGTGCTGTGACTGACAGCGACGGTCAGTAATAGAGTTCTTTTAGGGCCCAGAAAGGGACTGGAGGGGGTGTGGGGGTGTCCTGACAGAGAAATTCAAAGAGAGAAAGTGAGGGAGAGATGCAGGGAGCGAGGGAGGGATGGAGAGAGAGAGAGAGGAGATGGCTGCAGCAGCAACTGGGTGGTGGGTTGGTAGAACGGAGGGTGGGGAGGCGGCGGTGGTGGTGGTGGCGGTGGCAGGGGAGCCCTTTGGGTCAGACAATGGTAAGCATTCTTTCAGTTTACGAGTGAGTGTCCATCAGTGCAGGGGCCCCGGAGGAGGGAGGGGGGCCGGCTTTGTCAGCTCACGGCTAACACTCGGCATTCTCATGGTAATGCCCCGGGCTCCCAGCTCCCAAGTTGTCCAACAAATAAAATGGGCAGTATTCAAGCCTCAAGTCCCTCGAGAAAGACAGAGAGAGGCTACAAGACGGTTAACAGTGGAGTCTGGGCGTATTTGGGCATTTGCGGATTCAGGGTTTTTTTTTTCGCCTTTTTTCAGGACAAAGTTCTCTTGAGAAATTGAGTCACTGAAAGAGAGCTTTTTTTGTCATCAGAAGTGATATTTCAATTGAGTCCTTAGTTTATAAAAGATAGTTTAGATCATAGCAGATGTTTCTTTGCAAACAAATTATTTGTTTATATTTCTGTCCAGAGCTGACAGCGGTATGTTGCATGACAAGCCAGCACACACAGAAACAAACACAAGTTTCCCATCCTTAGTATCTCCCAGTTGGTTTGTGTGAAAGCAGAGCGACAGAGAGCGAGAAAGGGGGGTCTTTGATGATTCACACATCTTCCAAGTATTCCTGTAAATCACACAAAGTGTTAAGCATCTGTTATTGTTTATTAAATGGTTTTTTTGTACTCATTTTTTCAATGTGGAAGGGAAGGGAAGGGAACTTGCGGTGGTCACTGAGGCCTGTGTCCCCTGAGTCAGCTTCCGCTTCACTTCAGCTCTGGTTTTAAATGCAAAAAGAAAGAGGGAGATAGAGAGAGAGAAGGGGGAAGAGGGAGAGAGGCATATTGGAAAAGAGAGTGAGGAAGAGTGAGAGAGAGAGAGAGAGAGAGAGAGAGAGAGAAAACTTGAGAGAACAAAGAGCAGCAATCTATGAAAAAACAAAAGGGCCCAGGCCCGGTTCACTCAAGCAAAAACTAGCTGATAAAGGAGTGTGTCTTTGCGAGCAGCAGCAAAAAGGACCCTGGTATGTGGGAATAGGAGAGGAGCTCTCTTCATGAGCTATTGGAGGAAGATTGCGCTCAAAGTTGAGATACTTTTGGGATTCTTTTATTTCCCTCTTTTTCTGTCTGTCTGTCTAAACTGTTTTCTTGCAGATAGTCACAAAATCTGTCATTGTCAGCATTTTATTTCTTCTTTTCTTGGTTTTAGTGTAACAAAAAAAAGTAATGTCTTAGAAGTCTCTGCCATGCTGCGGATAGGAAATATTTCTTTCCAACAGACTCAAACCAGGAAAGCCGTCAAGCTGTTTTACATTGTGCCCTCCTTCATATTCAACTTTGGGGTACTGCACATGAAGGTTTCATTTGAAGTAGAATGAATCACTTTCTGAAAGATATATTTCGGTAAAAACAAAAGCAAGTTTCCAAACTACAGAAAGCTAGTGAGGTAGGCCAAAGCAGGATATCTTGTTATACATGTAAAACACTCCAGATAGACATTAGTCCCTTCAGCAAGTAGACTATTAAAGCCAAAAGCATGAAAACTGTTCATTTAATAATAGTTTAGTATAGATTTAGAGACTTTAATATTGAGCAGATTGATGTACAGGTGAGGCTCATAATTAGGTTTTTTGTCTATCAGACAACAAACATTGAGTTCTCCCTTCTCTTCTCTTCTCATCCCTCACCTATTTCCCTCCCATCCATCCTCCCAACCTCTCCTCTTCCCTCCCTTCTTATCAAGATGTTTGTGAGGCAGAGGTAATCGTTATGACTCAGTGCAGGACATTGAGGAATGGAAGTGAGCAGGCAGCCACCGTGCCTTTTCCCCGGGCATTGTGGCAGCGTGAAACAGGATAATAAACGCTATTTTATCCTGTATCTGCAGCTAGCCTCCTGCATAGCCCGGCACAACGAGGGAGAGACAATTCAACTGAAACGAAAAAATCATAGTTTTTCTGCTCGCAGTAAAGATTTGCAGGAATGCAAAGCCGTGTAGCCTTCAAGGCACAATGTGATAAAAAGTTATTTTACAGTTTCTTCCTCGTTGAATATGTTTAAGCTGATGTTCATCATAAATCTGTCTCTTTGCTCTCCAGGGGTATGCCAGATATCCAGTGGATGAATCTAGATCCAGTCAAGCTGATGGAGGAACTGAGTCAGTTCACTTCACTAGAAGGATTTAAGGAGATGTTGGACAAAGCCCAGGTAGGACACACAAATACACACTGACAGATATGCTGAATGAAAGACTTACTCATATGAACAATTAGTTACTCATCTAGTTTTCATCTAGACTTTTGTAACATTGTTTGATTTCTTAGGTGGGACATGCCTACATGAACAGGCCATGTCTAGACCCGTCAGACCCTGACTGCCCTCTCAGTGCACCCAACAAGGAGCAAGGAGAGGTAAACTCACAGTTCATTCACTACATACAGCAAGAAATTGCAGGTTGATGAAAGTAGCACTCAGATCTACAAAGACGCCTGACATAATTAACTGTATTTTTCCGTCTGTTCCTGCTCGTCCATCCAGAGTCCTGACATTGCTGGGCGTCTCCAGGGTGGTTGCCACGGTTTCAGCCGGAAGTTTATGCACTGGCAGGAGGAGCTGATCCTGGGAGGGCGGGTCAAGAGCAGCCAGGATACTCTGCTGAGGTGTGTGTTTATTGAGACATGTAAAGAAAGATCAAATACTGCAGTGTCAGGTGATTTAAAAGTACATTATAAGTTGTCTTATTGGAATATGTAATAGTGTGTGTGTGTGTGGGGGTCACTATGATCACTGCCAGCTGAGCAGGCAGCCAGTCAGCTTATGAGCCGCCGTGACTGTGGAATCTGTGTAACCCCTAATAACCCAACAGACACATGCCAAGAATGCCTTGTACTGAGAGCGATCGGTTTCCTGCATGACCCTGGGTCAGGATAGGCCAATTAAAGATGATTGACAGCCACATAAAGCCCCCCCACACTGTTACACACTTGTTGTGTAAGGAATATATAATTTCCCGTCTTTTTATAAGACTTTCTCCAGAGTTTTGTTTTTTCCCATCGACTTCAACTGGATTTAAAAGCATGGTCAATACAAATGGAGTGACAACATTGGGTCAGAGCCCAGATCATGACCCACACAGGCCCTCAAAAAAGCCTTGAATAAAAGAGGATTCCAGTACCATCTGCAAGAGCCACACTTACTCTGGGATGTGATTTATGATCATTTCTTTCACATTTTGAGCAGCTCTGCTACTCACTGTGGTGGTGCCAAGAAGGACATCTGGGATCGTAGCCGAGAGACCGGCTGACAGACAGACTAGATAACACCTGCTTTTGGCTGTTTATGTTGGCAGACAGAGCAGACATCTCCTAGAAGAAATGGCACCTGCCTTAAGCCATTCACAGAAAGGCATGTTCCTGTGTAGGTTCAGGGATACCAGGAGCACCTAACAGGGGGAGGGATGAAGCAGTTGAAGTTTCAACTCAACTCAACACGCAATAAACCAGGGGGAGCTCTGATGTGTCCTAAGCTTACACTTGTGTGTTTTGCAGTGCGGAGGCTCTCCAAACCATGTTCCTGTTGATGAGTCCTAAGCAGCTGTACGAGCACTTTAAAGACGACTACGAGATCCACGACATAAACTGGAATGAGGAAAAGGCTACCGCCATCCTCGAGTCCTGGCAGAGAAAGTTTGTGGAGGTGCGGGCATACACACATCTTTCATGTATATTCAAATGCTCACATACACACACACACACAAATAAAACAAATGCACACATTAAGCTGGACAGAAATATAGATTTTTGTTGTAGCCAACAACAAGAAAGAGGAGGATGAGAAAAATAAGGGATTTTTCTTTTTACTATGCAGTCTTGTTTTGCTTTGGTTCACACACACACACACACACACACACACACAGACACATACACACTTCATGGGACTTATTCTGCAGTGTCTGAATTCCATCAGTCTTCAACTCCCTTGTAAAGCGATTTGCAGGGCAGACCAGGGCAGTAGGTGTGTGTGTGTATGCATATGTGTGTGTGTGGTAGGCTTGCCATCTCTCTCTGTCAGAGCCCTAGTTATAGGAACAAGCTGTTCACCACGGTGAGGGTAAGGAGGGAAAGAGGGACATGTGCAAGGGAGGAGGGGCAACAATCTCGAACGATGACTGACAGAGTGAGTCCTCCTGACATATTAAAGAACAAGAACAGGTCTATTTGAGATTGCGAATGAGGACTGAATGTGGACAGGTAAACAGCTTTTGGGATTTTTGGTGCATTCAGGGCACAGAGTGGAGCGAGCACCCTCCTGGGCCATGTGATCCCATACCTTTCACCTTTGACCTCACAACCTCTGGCATCTGTGCTCATTACTCCCCAGTTGTCATACATACACACGCACTCACACACATGCTAGCACATGTGAAAACACACACACATTCATACAGGGCACATTTCAAAGGCATAGGGTGCTTATTCTGTCACAGGGCCCAAAGATATGGTGCTGTAAGAAAGGCTTGGGGAAGCATCAGTCAAAGGGAGGAAGTGTGCTAAAAAAAAATTTAGCTTGTGTTACTTAGCAGTTCAACCCCTTCAAGTACACAACAACTATATTCTCTTTGGCAATGTTATTGTTAATTGTGTAGGGAATGTGCTAAAGAATGTATATTTTGGTGTATTTTATGATTTAGCTGGACTTATTGATGATTAATTGATCTTTGTCCTACAGGTGGTCCACCAGAGTGTCCCAGATAACTCCAGCCAGTCCATCCACGCTTTCTCCACCACCACCCTCAATGACATTATGAAATCCTTCTCAGATGTCAGCGTTATCAGGGTGGCCGGTGGATACCTGCTCATGGTGAGCTTAATAATCGATTATGGCTTGTAATTCTATTTAAAAAAAATTGGACTTTACTGTAAAATACCTAATATTTAATTTGGATGTCTCCTCTCTAGCTGGCCTATGCCTGTGTGACCATGCTAAGGTGGGACTGTGCCAAATCCCAGGGGGCCGTGGGGCTTGCCGGAGTGTTGTTAGTGGCTCTGTCGGTGGCTGCAGGACTGGGTCTCTGCTCCCTGCTCGGACTCTCCTTCAATGCTGCCACCACACAGGTACAACACAAAGCAATTTTTAGGAGAATTTGAAAGGGGTCTTTCTTTGATTTAAAGCTTTTTTTGATTTTGATGTCACACACTTTAAATGTCCTTTCTGACCCTTTCCCATCCCAGGTGCTTCCCTTCCTGGCACTAGGCATTGGTGTGGATGACATGTTTCTGTTGGCTCATTCCTTCACAGAGGCTGGAAGTAACATCCCCTTTAAGGTACGTTTAAGACAATCCTTTCCTCTCTTCTCCTCTCCTCTCCTCTCCTCTCTTCTGAACGCTGTCTGTGTTTGTTTTAAAGGAGCGGACAGGAGACTGCTTGCGTCGCACCGGCACCAGTGTGGCTCTGACTTCCATCAACAACATGATCGCGTTCTTCATGGCTGCTCTCGTACCCATTCCTGCCTTGCGAGCTTTCTCTTTGCAGGTATGTTTTGCACACACGCACACCCTCACACGCATGCGCACAGACATAAACACACGTACACAATCGCACACCAAGAGGCCCAAGGCTCCTTTGAAAATGAAAGAGATAACTTAAGAGGTGACACTTATTCAGAGCAGGGAAAGCCTTTGTTCCCAGTTTTATTGCTGCTGCACCTACAGGGCCAACATTTTTGTGTGTGTGCGTGTCTCTGTGTGTGTTTGCATGTGTGTAATGTGGAATAATCAGAGCAAAGAGAGTGGCAGACAGAGAGAGAACGAGAGGGAGAGGGAGGGAGGAGTGGATCAGTATATCACTGGCCCGTCAAGGCGGTTTGCTCTGATCTGTGACTAACTGTGGGTGGTCTGAAACACACAAGCACACACACAAATGCACACACATAAATGTACACACACTGCAAACCACAGCCAGTTAGAATGTCAGCTTCAGGGGCTGGGGTGAGTAAAGGGTGATGGTTTTTCTCAGACTCACAACATATATATTCCCTTCCTGCTTCTTTCTCTCACTCTTTCTAGTAGTTCTTTCATTCTGGCTCTCTTTTCTTTCTTTTCTCTCTGTCTCTCTCTCTCTCTCTCTCTCTCTGTCTCTCCTCTTCTGGCTCGCTTAGTATTCCTGGCTAGTGATTTAGAGTAAGGCTTTTCTTTACTTTCTATGCTGTGGTCTAAGATACTTAAAAAAAGTAAAAAAGAAGGAGCCCTGACTCTCCCCAGCTGGGGTAGGGTGTCTGTAATTTCACAAACTGTTCTCTGTCTTTTCTCAAATTGTTTTTCTCTCTCTGTTTCTCTCCCTAGGCGGCCATTGTGGTCGTGTTTAACTTCGCCATGGTGCTGCTCATCTTCCCTGCCATCCTCAGTTTGGACCTCCATCGGCGCGAGGACAAGCGCTTGGATATCCTATGCTGCCTGTACAGCCCCTGCTCTGACCGCGTCATCCACCTCTCTCCGCACGAGCTGTCAGATGCTGGAGAGCAGCCACACACACCCACGACGGCAACGGCTCACACGCACCAGTACACGGCAGGATCGACAATCACCACCAGCACCCAAATCACCACCACGGTGCAGGCATTCACACAGTGCGATGCGGCGGGCCAGCATATCGTCACCATCCTACCACCTACCTCACAGATCTCCACCAGCCCGCCATCTATCATCGTCTGCCCCACCTCGCAGCCTCAAGGTAAATAAAACTCTATTCAACTTCTAAAATGTATGTTATTTTGTTTAAAGCATTCCCTTAAATAAACCCTGATGCCAAAACACTAATTTGCTGCTTGTATTTCCTTTCCCTAGCTATCACACCTTCCCCCACCACCACCTCTGTGCCGGACCCCTACGGCTCCCAGCTCTTCACACCCACCTCCAGCTCCACACGGGACCTCCTAGCCCAAGTAGAGGATTCCAAATCGGGAAAGAAGTGCGTCCCGCTCCCTTTCCTGCACTGGAACCTATCCAGCTTTGCCAGGGAGAAATACGCCCCTCTGCTCCTCAAGCCCAAAAGCAAAGCCATCGTGGTGGTTCTCTTTCTGGGTCTCCTGGGGCTCAGCTTGTATGGAACCACCATGGTGCACGATGGCCTCTACCTAACTGACATCGTGCCACGCGACACCAAGGAGTACGATTTCATCGATGCCCAGTTCAAGTATTTCTCCTTCTACAACATGTACCTGGTGACCATGGATGGATTTGATTATGCCCGGTCACAGAGGCTGCTGATCCAGCTGCACAACGCCTTCAATTCCGTTAGATACGTGGTCAGAGACAGTGACAACAAGCTGCCCCGCATGTGGCTGCACTACTTCCAGGACTGGCTCAGAGGTACAAATTCAGTCTCAGTAATGTTTTTTTTTTTTTATGATTCTGGTAATAAGTTAGTCTCTGTCCGAGAGTGCAACAGGTTTTTTCAGGTGTGCTTTTTTTTCACTAAAGACAGGAGTGAATGAATGTATGTGTGTGCTGGGATGAGAATGTGCTAAGGGTGAGTGAAAGTTCAATCTGGCTGTTTACCCCCATCCACCTGGGCTCATGGGTGGTGCCTTAGACGGGTTGGGGTCATAGGTTATCTTTGCATGTGTGTGTGTCTCTGTGTGTGTGTGTGTGTGTGTGTCCTCGGGCTAGAACGTGTCATATACTCAGTCAGGAGGAAGTGATAGCTAACAGCTCAATCAGAGCCAGCTGAAAAAAAGAGACGGAAAAGGAAACTTGATCACATTTTCAACATCACTGCCCACATAGACACACAAGAAAGCGGTTATAATTTTATGATAATAGACATCATATTATTTATAAATGACAACCACAATAATCCTTTCTTTTCTGTGTGTGTTTTACCTCACACGCAGGTCTTCAATCTGCTTTTGATGCTGACTGGCAGGCAGGCAGGATTACCTCTGACAGCTATCGTAACGGCACAGAGGACGGAGCTCTGGCATACAAGCTTCTCATCCAGACCGGCTCCAAGAAAGAGCCTTTCAACTACAGCCAGGTATGTAGACGGGCTGCAAGAAATACTTTAAAACAAAATCCACATGTCATTCCTACTTATGTCACTGTGTGTGGCATTGTGGACAACTACATTATCAGCTGTCTTTTTACCATTTATTCTGACAAAAGCTAGACTGTTAAATCAGAATTCTTTGAATCGTTGTCCTCTAGCTGACTTCTCGCCGGTTGGTGGATGCAGAGGGTTTGATCCCCCCAGAGGTGTTTTACATTTACCTGACAGTCTGGGTCAGCAACGATCCTCTGGGCTATGCTGCCTCTCAGGCCAACTTCTACCCCCATCCAAGAGAGTGGATTCACGACAAGTATGACACTACAGGGGAGAATCTGCGCAGTAAGTATCTTATATGCATTATTTTGGCCTGCATGGATACACCGGAAATTGCCTTCCAGTAAAAACAGCAATTGATCTGATCTCAAATCTCACTTTCCTTCTCTTGCAGTCCCAGCTGCAGAGCCCCTGGAGTTTGCCCAGTTCCCCTTCTACCTGAACGGCCTTCGCCAGGCTGGTGACTTTGTGGAGGCCATCGAGAGCGTGGCGGGCCGTGTGATTGAGTTTTAGGCCCGGCAAGGGAGTTTTCCAAACCTACCCTAAACGGATACCCCATCCGTTCTGGGAGCAGTACATTGACTCAGACCCACTGGTCCTGCTGGCCAATCAGGCGTGGTGCGCCTGCACCTTCCTGGCTGGTGCGATTGCTCCTGCTCAACCCTGGACTGGCGCCATCCATTGTAAGCCACCAAATCACTTTGCCCTACGAACTCGCTTATAATGTCCTAAAAGCTCTTCCGTCGTTTCCCCTCCCTATGGCTTTTCCTTTCCTTTCCACCCTTGCCTGTTCCTGTCTTGCATTTTCCACCTCATGCTACCTCAACAACATCATTAGCCCCTTTCTCCCTCTCTTCTTCCTCTCACTTTCTTCTCACCCTTCTCAGCACAGCTCAATAACGCTGTCTAGGGGGCCCCTTTTTCTCTGCGGAGGGCCAGTACGCACACACACACATGGGGACCTTTGTCATTCTAATGTAGGCTGGGCCGGCCTTAGAAAAGGAAATGCAAAGGAGCAAGAAAGGCTTTGCCCTCCTGAAGCCTCTACCTCAAACTCCCTCACTGCTTTTGTCAGAGGGAGAGGGAGAGACTTGGGGACAGGACAGATCTGCCCAGTTGCGACCTTGGCCTGCTCAACCCATCCATCAGGGATATGTGTGTGTGTGTGTGTGTGTGTGTGTTGTGTTGTGTGTGTGTGTATGTGTGAGAGAGAAAGAGACAGTCTGAGTGTTCAGCAGTTGGAAAACATTTCACACACAAGCTGGTGGGACCGGTGGTCCTTAAGGGCCCCCCAAACTCACACACATACACAAATCCACATATCCCCAACCTCTGGGGGGGCTGAAGTGTAGCACAACAACAGCGCCGGTTTCAGTTGGAATGTGTTTAATTTAAGTAGCAGTCCCTAGCAGCACTGATTAAGACGGCAACACAACACAGTCTTCACAGACAGAGAGAGGCACAGCTACATGCATGTATGGTTTCCAAGCATCAGCCCGCCTGTGAAGGCTTCACCCGGCCTGTATGTGGTCGAGCAGTAAAACGGCTTTTTATCATTTCCAATTTAACTGTGCCCCAGCTCCGAGCCCCCACTGAGATCAAAAGCTCCCGTTGGCCAGGAACTGTTTTCTCCTCCTTGTTTTTTAAGACTTGTTGTTGCTGTTTGTATTGCGGTTTACAGTAACATTACTAAGATGTTGCATTAAAATATCGGAAACAATAAAACAAGCCAAACGGGCTGCTATCTAGTTAAAAACAAGAGAAATTGTTTTCCACAAACAGAGACAGATGTATATGAATATACTGACAGAGTGCCCACACTCTGTTGTCTCAGGCGCTGTCAATCATTTCAACCACCTCTGGGAAGAAAGAAGAAAAAGAAAAGGAAGGAGGGAGGGAGAAGGGGAAGGGGAAGGTATTAGCCTCAGGGTGTGTAATTTGATGCCATGTGGTTGAGATCCTGAGCACGGGGTCAAAGATTGTGCGGGGTGAAGAGGCAAAAGTGTTCAACTCAGTCATTAAGGAAAGCCTTATTCTCTTTTATTGGTTTACATGCTCTATTTGTCTTCTTACTTGCTTGTTTCCCCATCATCCTTAATGGCAATTAAGCATCAAGCATTGGCAGACGAAAAATGCTTCACTTTTTAACACTTCTTGTTCATGTCTTCTTTTCAGGTGTTTATATTGGCCATGATGACGGTGGAGTTGTTTGGCATCATGGGTCTGATTGGCATCAAGCTGAGTGCCATCCCTGTGGTTATCCTGATCGCCTCTGTGGGCATCGGAGTGGAGTTCACTGTTCACATCGCACTGGTAAGTCAAGACTCAGCACAAAGTAAGAGCACACACATGGATTAACTGTTGGGGGGGGGCTGAGCTCCTACAATTAAACACCTACTTTACTTGAAACCTGATGCTTTGGTCTGACTTTTAAATACATACTACACACCAACATTTGACTACATAAGAATTAATGTGACTGAAAATCACATTAATTATGGAGTTGTAAACACTCAGAGACATGGCCTGAGTGGGACACTTTTCAATAGGAAAATAAACCTGTCAACCCTGGAATTTGTCCACCAGAGAGTATAAACAGGGGTCCAACTCTATTTAAGAAATTATTTTCCAGGACCTTTCCAGGACAACACTTGCTCACAGTCATATAATTTCTGTTCTCACCACAGCTGCTTTTTTCTGCAGCATCTCCTAAAATACATAACATTTTACATTAGTATTACTATTTGGACATATTTGGAGATTATTTCCAGGATATTTTGGTAAATTTCCAGGTGTTTCCATGACTGGAAAATAAGGCTCCAAATATCCAGGTTTTCCAGGATGCGCAGGCACCCTGATACAGTATACAAAAATATCATTTCATTGGTGAACATTTATTAACCTTCTTCAAATAACAAACAAACAGGCATCGAACAATGAATGTTAAGCGTACCGAACAA